GCCGGCGAAGGCCCCTCCCGCGCCCGCCAGCAGCCCGACACCGAGCGATGCGGCGCCCCGGCCGTCCGCGTCCTCGAAGGGAGAGGTGACGTAGTCGTCGCCGAAGTCATCACTGCCGCCGCCGCGACCAATGTCGCCCAGCGAGACATCCTGAGCGTGGCCATGGCCGATGGCGGCGTACGACTGCTCCCTGACATGGTCGCCCTGCCATGCCGCAGGGTCGTCGTCGTGCTCGTCCTCGTCATAGTCGCTGTCGTCCTCGTCGCCCTCGTCGCCGTGCGCGATGAGCGCTGCGCGGTTCCAGCGGTCGCCGCGATAGCTTTGCCCATCCTCTTCGTCGGCCAGCATGTCGAAGCGAGGTTGCTGGGCTGCGTGGTTCTGGCGCCGCCCCGTCAGGATCGCCAGCCTCTCCCTGAAGTGAGGACCCGATCCTTCCATGGCATGGCCGATGTTGCCCGCCGTCCATGGCGAGGTCTCGGCGCGCCGCTCCGTCACCCGCTTCCCGCCCGCTGCTGCTGCTGCTGCTACCGCCGTCGCGCCCGCCGCATCGCCACCACCGGCACCGAAGAAGGCCCCTCCGCTGTAGCGATCGCCGTCGTAGGGCCGCTCGTTGCTATACGGCATGCTCGTCTTCTCGAGCATGTAGAAGTCGTCGTCGTAGTCGCCACCGCCACCGCCGCCACCGCCGCCGCGTCCCAGCAGACCGGCCGCGCCGTCGCCTCGACGCCAGTTGTTGTGCGAGCCGCTGCGCTGCCGGTACAGGGCGTACCCTGCCCCGACGACGAGGCCCGCTCCGATGAGCGCACCCAGCGCAGCACCGGCTTTTGCGCCGCCGGAAGGGCTGCTGCCGCCGCCGCCCGCCTTGTCCGTCGGCTGTGGCTCGGCGGTCGGGAAGCCGTCCGACGTCGTCGATGACCCGCCCCAGTCCGAGTCCGAGGATCCCTGGTCGCCGCCGCCGCTGGTGCTGCTGCCGCCTCCGCTGCTGGTGCTGGATCCGTTGCCCCCGTGCGACGCCGAGGAACCTGTCGAAGAGGTAGACGCACTGTCAGAGCTGGCACTCGAACCGCCCCCGCCAGAACCCGATCCAGTGATCGTACCTGTGCTAGAGCCGGCGCCGGCCCCATCCGCCGCCGTCGTCGCTTGCGGATCCGGCGTGTACTTCGTCGACCATCCGCCGCCAGACCACGAGCCGCTGCCTGCCGCCGCCATCGAGGTGCCGTCAAACACGTAAACGCTGTCGTCGGCCGCGTTGCCTCCTGACCAGCCAAACGTCGTCACCACCTGCCGCCCGTAGGCCACCGCGGCGTGGCCGTACCGTGCGCCCGGCCCTCCTGTGCTGTTGAGCTCGGTCCACACGGGCGGGTTCTGGCTCCAGTCGAGGAGCCACGCGTCGCTGTAGACGGTCGAAAAGTCGGCGCTGGCCCCGCCCTGGATAAAGATGCGCTTGTTGGGCAGACTGACGGCGACGTGGTCTCGCCTGGGGAGGGGCACGGCGCCGCTCGAGCCGTCGGCCCGGGAAGAGAGGGTGCCTGACCCGGAAGAGGCGGCGGCAGCAGCCGAGGTGGGCGTCTTGGCCCACGCTCCGGTCCGCGTGGAGAACGAGTAGATCTCGTCCATGGTCTGCAGCTGTCCCGAGGCATCGAGGCCGCCGAGGAGGAGCAGCGTCCCGTCGCTCAGCAGCGTCGAGCTGGCACCGGCGAGGCTGCCCGGAGGACTCGAGTCCACCAGGGAAAAGGCCGGGTCGGGCGAGGTGGCGTTGATGGTCCATAGCTCGTCGAGCATCAGGCCGGAGCCGTCGCCCTTCTGGCCCCCGACGAGCCACACGCAGCCGTCGGCGTCGCTCTCGGCGGCGTGGTAGATGCGGCGCATCGGCTCGCTCCAGGACGGGTCGACGCGGCTGTACTGGGCCGAGTAGGTGCTGCCGGAGCCCGAGAGCTGCACCATGTAGGCCGAGTCGTTGTTGGTCTGGACAGGCACGGTAGGCGAGCCGTCGCCGCCAAAGAGGAGCAGCCTGTTGCCGGCCAGGGGCGAGAGGGTGTGGAAGCTGACGGCGGGGGCGGCGGCACCACCCGAGCCCACGGCGACGGGCCTCCACGGCGGCGACGAGACGTCAAACGAGGCGGCGAGGTCGAGGGCGAACATGTCGGCGGTGTTGGGCGCCGAGCTGTAGGTGAAGCCTCCGTCGACGCCTTGGGTCTTGCCGCCCTGGACGACGAAGAGGTTGTTGACGAGTGCCGAGGCCTGACCCCAGCGCGCGACCGCAGGGTTGGTGGCCCCGGCCACGGCTGCGCTGGTGTCGTCGGTCTGGGCGCGGGTGGCGCCAGAGGACCAGAGGAATGCCAGCAGCGTGGTGGTCAAGGCAGCCGTACGGCTGCTGCGCCTGCTCGGCCGCATCCCTGGCGAGGAACGCTGCTGGCAGCGTCCGGCGATGATGGTGGTCTTGACGTGCAGCTGCATGGTGAGCGGAGGATCGCCAGCCCGCAAGAGGGCGAGATCCGTTGTCGGGGCCCTCCGTCTGGCTGTCTGTGGTGGGTTCGAAGTAGTGGCAGAGGTTGAGATGGGCGGCTGGCAGGCCTCGCTGCGATGGGCGAGCAAGGGCGCAGTGAGGCTGTGCTGGCCAGAGGCGAGGCGAGGCGAGGCGAGGCGATGCGAGGTGCGGTCGTGGGTCGTGGCGGTGCGTGTCGTAAGGTCGTCAGAGTTCGTACAGGGTGGGGAGGAGGTCGATGGTTGCGTGGAGAGCGGGGACGGGAGGGGAGAGATAGAGGTCGCGAAGCGAAGGGGGAGGAGGAAACCGGGATGCCGCCGAAGCAGGCCAAGATGGAAAGTGGGTAGGTGGCGGCGCAGTGCAAAGGACGAGGCAGCGGTAGTGTCAGAGGGGACCGATGCAATGGCAGGTGTTGAGCGCAGGCCGGGCGGCGCCGTGTCGTTTGGCCTTTGTCCGCCGCACGCACGGCTGCTGCTACCACACACACTCACCCTGCCTGTCTTTGGCCGTGTACTGTAGTCTGGCCGCGCACGTACAGCCAGAGCGAGGCAAGCCGAGCGAAGGGATGGCCGTCTGCCTGCCTGGTGCTTCCGTAGGCCCGATGGGATAAGAGGGGAGGCGCCCCTGTTTCACTCGGAGCCGTCCAGCCTCCCGATCGTTTCGGGGTGGTTCAAGTCGCCGTCCAGCCTGGCTTCGCAGAGCGATGACGACCAAGGCGACGACGATAGATGGCTATGATGTCGTCCGAACTGGATCGACGTCAGCGAGGGAGAGAGGAAGGGCGAGAGGTGTCGAAGCCAGAGTCGGGTTGAGGGGCGGCGTTGGTGGTGGCCAGGAGGAGAGGCGAGGCTGAGGATAGGGGCCACCCGCAGCCCGCCGTACGTTGTGAACCCTGAATTGGCGCTCGGCAGCCAGCAGGCAGGTTTTGCGTAGGCCTTAGCAAACAAAGCGCGCGGGTGGGGGGCAGCGCGCGTCGAAGGTCGAAAGGGACGCGCTCGCTCCACTCTGCACCTTTTGCCACTACTGGAGCAAGCCAGGTCGGTCCGAGGAGGGGTCGAGATGAAGCGGGTGTACGAGGATGGAACGATGAGGAGCAAGCGGGACACCAAGCAGGCCAGCTTCGGGAGCGAGGCGACGGTAGATATGCTCGAGGCCACGGCGGTCCGACATCGCAAGACCAAACCAACATCTACATCGACCCTTTGGTTGGCGTGATGCCCGGCCTGGCCACGCCACGCCTGCAAGCCCGCGTCAGACGTTTCGCATGCCATCCAGCCGACCGACCCCGTTTCATCGCCCCTCGTTGCCTCGTTGCCATGCCATCTCGACGCCAGGTCAGCTCAGGCTAGGCCAGGCCAGGCCAGGCCATGCAGGTCCCGTAGACACCGATGGCACTCTGGATTATATTCTGGCAGAGTGGCTTTGAGCGCAAGCAAGGCGCGCCGCTTCCAACCTACGTGCCACGGTTGCTAGCCAACGACCGGCGTGGCCACAGAGAGAGAGACGCGGGTGTCGCCCGATCCCGTCTACCGATGGTGTGCACCCGCCTCGATGCTGTCCAGGATGACGAGGTGCCGCACGCAGCGCATCGGCGACAGGCAGGCGTTCATGTTCGTCGAACCAACCTCGTCCGTGGGCTGCCACGCCCCTTCATGCGTGCGCACCTGCTGGCTGGTCTGCTCGCTGGCCAGTCGGACGCAACGGCCTCGCCATGCCTTGCCTGCCAAGCACCGCCTCGTCTCGCCTTGGTACTCGGCCCCTCGGACCACAGCCTCGCCTCCAGCAAAGGGCAGGACGGGTGACGCTACGACTGCATCGGCACGAGAACGAGGTAGGTATATTCGTACAACAACAAGGAGACAGCAAAGGTTTACATGCGCGCATGCCCACCAAGAGGCTAGACGGAGGGTCGACTGGCGCACAGAGACATGGAACCGGGAGAGGTGGAAGCTATCGGGGTCGGTTGGGGGAGTCCAGTGGGGGAGTTCCGGTCGCGGGCCATACCTCACTACTGGTGCGGGATCTGGAGCGCCGAGGCGAGAAAGGCAAAGTTGGCCTCGTCAAAGCTCTCGCTCTGCAGCTGCAGCGGCCAGACGGACTGGTCGCTCGAAAAGAACTCGGCCACCGCCATGCCGGAAATGTCGACATTGCCCGGCAGGATGCCCACGGGCGTGGGCGCGCTGTTGTAGGGCGTCAGGCCACTTCCGCCGCCGCCGCCGCCGCCGCCGTTGACGTGGCCATTGGCCTGGCCGCCATCGACGGCGTTGAGCAGCGAAGAGATGTGGCCGTTCCGGCGCGACAGCTGCTGCGGATAGTCTGGCTGGTGCGCCGCCTGCTCGTGTGGCTGCGGGTGATGGACCTCGACCTGCTGCGCATGCGCCGGCTGCGGCTGAGCCGGATGCTGCTGCTGCTGCTGCTGCTGCTGCTGCTGCTGCTGCTGCTGCTGCTGGGGGTTCGGCGGATAGGGCGTCGCGGGAGCGGCCGTCGAGTTGAACGGCTCAAAGCCGTCGTCGACCTGCCACGCCTCCATGAGCGCGTCGATGTCAAACGTCAGGTCGGCCGAGATTCCCAGGCCGAGGCCGAACGGCGAGTCGCCGCTGTGCGTCGACGTGGGCTCGCCGTCGCTCGTCGAGCCCGGCTGCTGCCGCACCTCGCGGCCGTCGGCCATGGTCACCATCTTGAACCGCGGCGTGTTGGCCGCCGACTCGCCCATCCTGCGCTGCGAGCGCAGCTTGCTCTTGGCCCACTTGAGCACCATCTCGACGTCGCGGATCGGCGCGCTCTGCGCATCCTCGTCCGACACCTGCGGGTCCACCTCGTCGCGGTTGCCCGCCGCCTCCTGCTCGAGGGCACGCATCGGCCAGCTGGCGCCCGCCCAGTACACCTGGAGCTTGTGGAGGATGCGCTGGCAGGCGGCCAGGTTGATGTCGGCGTACGACTTGGTCGTCGAGAGCGAGCTGGTGCGGTTCGAGACCTGCGAGGCTGGGCCGCGCGACGGCGGGCGCGAACCCATGCCGAGGTTGCGCAGCGCCTCGCGGGCAGCCTCGCGCTCGGCGAGGAACGACCGGCCGGCGGGCAGGATCAGCTGGTCGAGGTAGGGCGAGGCGGTGATGCAGCGATCGTCAAAGGCGTCGCCGAGCGTGAGGATGTCCGAGATGGTGCGCGACGCCGCGGCGCTGGCGGCGGGCGCAAACGACGGCAGCAGCGGCGCCGAGTCGCCCGTGAACTTCTTCATCAGCGACGGCCGGTCCAGCAGGCCGATGGTCGACTGGAACAGGACGTGCAGGTAGACAAACCCGGGGCTCTGGTTCTGCGCCGCGGCCCGCTGGAACGTCTGGACGTTGAAGTGCAGGTCGCCGGGAAGCGACGAGTAGCTCTGGGCCAGCTCCATCCACATCTGCGCCAGCGCGCGCTTGCGGTCCTCGACGCCGTACGAGTCGTCCTGTCCGCGCCGGTTGAGCAGCTCGCCCATGCGGCCGCGCAGCAGCAGGATGCGGATATAGTGCCCGAAAATGACCGTCTCGTCGTTGGTGTCGCTCGGCTCGTTCATCCGCGGCAGCTCAGTGTCGATCTCCGACTCGCGGATGGTGACGGGCCGGCCGGTGCCAAACGTGGTGATGCGGTCGAGGCCAACGACGGCCCAGAAGAGCAGCCGCGCCTTTTCCTGGTGCCGCTCGTTGGGGATGCTGAGCACGCTCGCCTCGTGCTGCAGGCCCAGGTCCTGCGACATTCGCAGCGCCATGCCGACGTACATCCACAGGCCCGAGTCGCTGCCCGCCGCAAACTCGGCGTAGCTGAGCAGGATGAGCGCCTCGATGACCTCCATCGACGGAAACGAGAGCAGCGGCATGATGAGGATCTTGGCCATCTCGCTGAAGTGGTCGCCCGACGACTTGCGCGGCGCCCGCCGGAGCTCGCTGCGGTCCGAGAAGCGCGCCGCCACGGCGCAGATGGCGTTGGCCAGGATGGCCGGCATCGATCCGTTCTCGGCGCCGCTCCGTAGCTCGTCGGCGTCGATCCAGGGGCACCACGACGGCTTAAAGTGGCTGAGAAACAGGCCGACAAGGTGCTCGAGGATGTCGCGCCGCGGATACCGCGGACGGTTGATCTCAAAGAGCTCCCTCGTGACCGACGACGGCGCACGCTCGCCCTTGCTGCCGGGGCTCGGCGGGCGCAGCGGTTGGCGGCGAGCGGTGGATGTCGCCGCTCGAGGCGGTCAGCGGCCCTGGCGCTGCTGCCGCCGCCGCTGCCGCCGCAGACGATGACGGGGCCGCCGCCGTCGCCGCTGCCGTTGCCGTTGCCAAAGGTGCCGCGACGGTGGAAATTGGCACACTCAGCGACGCCGGGCTGCCCTGTTCTTCCGTCTGCGCAAAGCTCGCCTTGCGGACCGCCGCCTGCTCCTCGGCGATCACCGGCGCCAGGTCGTCGGTGTCGGCCACCTCCGAGTCCTGCAAGACGCCGACCTTGATCTTGCGATAGCCGGGCGTGTTGGCCGTGGTGCCAAACCACCGGAAGAAGGGCAGCAGGATCTTCGGCTTCGGCGCCGGCGCTTCTTCGACGACTTCGGCCGCCTCGTCGACGTAGGCGCGGCCGTTGACATTGCCGTTCCGCTGCCAGCGCTCGATCCCGTCGCGAAGCTCTGCCGACACCGTGGGCCGTGGCGAGCCGCGCCCATCGCTGTCGAGCGGGACGCGTGGCCCATGGCGGTCGGGACCTTCGCGCTCCCGCTCCTCGACCTTGGCCGCATCGACAGCCGAGAGGTGGCCGTAGTAGGCCAGCGACATCGGGTCGACGTCCTCCTCCTGCAGCCTCTTCCTCGCCGGGTTGCCATTGCCATGGTGCGACCGGTTCCGCTTGCTCGAGGAGCCAGCAGAGGAGCTGGCCTCCTGCCGTGGCGGCTTCTGGTCCGCGTACAGCGGCTGCGAGGACTGGGCACCGTCGACGCGAGCCGAGCGACTCCGGCCGCTGCCGTGGCTGTTCTCGCTCGGCGACTGATGCTGCAGGAAGAAACCACCTGCGGCTCCCGAAGCGCTACCGCCTCGCTCTTGTCTCGGATCGGCCGAGGTCGGGTGGCCGTAGTAGGAGGCGTCGTGAGAGAACGAGTCGGTCGAATCGTTGCGGTGCTGCGCGTACCGGACTGGCGGCTCGGCGGCATAATGGGCCTTGATGCCGGCCGAGGCGGGCGACTGGTCGCTGTAGAAGTCCTGCGGTGCCATCGACGGCGCGTAGCCAGCGCTTCCGGTGCTGGCCCGACCTCGGCTTGGCATCAGCACGGATGCCGGGGGGTCCTGCATCAAAGGAGTGCCCCCTGCCGTCGTCGTCCCAAGGCCGGCGGAGCCGACGGCTTGCATGCCGGTCGACATGACAGGGAGAGGCGCTGCAAGGTGGGTCGGGTTGGCAAACGAGCGGAAGACGGCCTTGGCCTTGACCTTGGGGCCCGGCGTGCCGCTCGTTCCGGTCGCAGACGAGGCCGTGCCCTTGTCAGCGGGCGTCCCCGCCGCCGCGCCGCCTGCCGCCTCGTCGCCGACCGTCTTGCGCCTTTGTCGCGGCCGCTTGGAGTCTGTGGCGTCGTCGGCAGACTTGCGGGCCCCGGACTTGGACTTCTTGGCCGGGATGGTCCTCGCGTTGGCGCTGGGCGGGCCAAAGTGGGCGAAGCGGGCCGCCCTCAGCGCCGGTGCGAGGTCGTCGACCCGGAAGAGGCACTCCTTGCCGGACGAAAGGCAGTTTTGGCAGACGGGGGCATCTGGCGTGAGGATGCAGCGCACCTTCTTGGCACGGCTGGCGAGGGGATAAGGGGTGGTTCGAGCGCCGAGGGGGAGGGGGAAACGAGGATCGGGATGAGAACACGAAGACGCCGTCGGAAGACGTTGCGCTGCGTCGCCACTCACCAGGCCTCGCACGCGCTGACGGGACGGGTGCGCTTCTTTGGCTCGGGCGGCATGTCGGTCTGCGTGGAAGAAGGTTTGGCGTTGCCGTTGGCGGTACGGCGGATGCCGCTTGGGCTTGGGTTGGTGTTTGTTGGGCCCTGCGTGGCAGGCAGTGTGGGTGGGCCGACGGGCTGAGGGCTGCTGGTGGCCACCGAGGCGAGGGTCTGTGCAGCGGCCATGAGCGCCGAGGTCGTCATCGTAGCGGCGAGCAACGGACGACGAAGGGTTGCCTCCGACGGCGGCGGGGACCGGCGGGGCTCGCTGGATAGAAGGTGGGTTCGGAGAACAAGGAGGCGAACCCAGCCAGGCTACTGCGGGTCGAGCGGTCCCGTTTTCGTTTTGGGACGGGAGCGAGTCGTATGCGCGTCACGCTCGGGCGAGGTACATGCTCGTCTCTTTGTCGGTGGGGTGGCGTAGCGTAGCGTGGCCTGGCGCGGCACGGAACGGCGCGGCGCGGCGCGATGGCTGTCTGTCGTCTGCTCTGCTCGCAGGGCAGGACGGGCTCGCTGGGGCGGTCTCTGCGAGAAGTGTCAAGGTGTCGGTGCGGCCGGCGATGGGCAGGGCAGGGTCTGGCTGGTGGAGTCGAGAGAGGTTGCACCTGGACGCTCGCGAATGGCGGCTGGATGGCGTGGATGCGGCGCTGCGTTGCTGGTGGTGCTGGTGGTGCTGAGCCAAGGCGTGCAGGCAGGTAGCAAAGCGATGGACCGGGGAGCGGGCCAGGCTGGTTAATGGTGCGTGCGTTGGCGTCCGAGAGCCGGCCAGGTGGGGTGGCAAGAGGTGCGCTGCGCTACATACGCTCTCGCCTCTCGGACAAGACAAAGGCTAGGAAGAGAGGCCCGCCGAGGAGAGGCTAGGCTAGGGTCAGACAGGCCAGGCCAGGCCAGGCAGGTGGTAGGCTAGGCTGGCAAGGGAGAGAGGGGCCAGGGGAGAGGGGCCAGGAGAGAGGCTGGCTAGGGCGAGCAAAAGAAGAGGGGCGGGCGGCAACGCAGAAATGCCGAGGCCGAGTACAAGGCCCAGCTAGGTGGCGAGGAGCTGACCGCCCCTGGCCTGCCTCTGTCGGCCACCTCGCCTGCTGGCCTGCTGACGGCCTGGCCTGGCCTGGCCCTGCCTTGAATGGCCTGCCAACAGCCGCCCCCGTCGTGACCTCGGTCTACCGGTAGCTGCTCGTCCCCCGCGCTCTCTTTTTTTCTTTTCTTTTCTTTTTTTCTCGCCCCTGTTCCCCTCGCCGCCTCGCCTCGCCTCTCGCCCGCCCTCCGGCTTCATTTCGTCTCCCTTGTGACCGGCTGGCAGCGTGGGTGCGTGTTGGTCGTTGGCTGAAGGGCGCTAGTTGGTGGACTGCCAAATTAAGAGGCCGCAAGACGATGGCCTCGGTCCATGCCGTTCCGGCATGACGGGCGCGCCGAGCGGGGCGAGCGGGGCGGTGGCCGGTCTGGCCTGGGCTGGCCTGGGCTGGCCTGGCCTTCTCTTGCTCGACGACAGTCGACGCAGAGGGCCTCGGCTCGACGCAAGCGGGCGACTGCACCCGCGACCCGGCTTCGAGGCGCCGAGCGAGTCTGCTGGAGTGGGGAGCGCGGGGCCAGGCACCACAGCAAGGCCTTCCTCTGGCAACGCAAAATAGAAAAAATGGGCAACGAGCGCAGGCCAGGCCCGCTGCCGCCGTTGGGCCAGGCACCAAACGCCCGCACGCCAACACGGCGCAGCAGCTGCATCGTCGTCACCCACCCCAGCCGGGCCTTTGCTGCTTGCCGTTCCCGTCCTCCGCCGTCCGACGGACAAAGGCGGCACTCGGGGCTCAGGGGCGTGCCGTACTGTACATGTTCATGCCTACAGCAGCAGCAGCAGAAGCAGCGACGACGACGACGGCGACGACCGCGACGACCGCACGTAGGGCACGGGCAGGCAAGTCTGGGCTGCTGAGCTTCGAATGCATCGAGCCGCGTTGGACTGAGCGGCGCTGAGCTGAGCTCACGTGGCGTGGCGTGGGCAGGCGACGGACCTTCGACGACGACGACGACGACGACGACGGACGCTCGGCAAGCAAGTGAGCTAAGGCGGACGGACGGGGCTGCGGAGTCGACAGGCCGACCGACGGGCGAGCGTACAGGCTAGGCGAGGCTGGTCTCTCGAGGCGTAGGCCGGCTACGTTGGGCCAGGCAGGCGAAGCAGCAGGCGTCAAGAGAGAGAAGCGGGCGAAGATGAGAGATTGCCGACGCCCGACGTGTGTCGTCGCTCGCCCGCCTGCTGGGCTGTACGGCAGCCTGCCTATCCCTGCCTCCGCCTCCTTCTTGGCCGGCGTCGTCGCAGCCGCAGGCAGGAGATGAGGCCGCTGTGCCTTCCTTCCGCCCTCGCTACCCCCCTCCCCCCCTAAGCCTCCGCTTTCCCCGCAAACACCGGCTCTCCGGCCTGCCTGCCTGCCATATGGGCCGGCGAGTTTTTTTCTCTCCTTTCTCGACGATTTCTTTCCTACGCTTCGCCGGCTCTTCCTGCGCTGTCCTGCCCTTCTCCTTTGATGCGATGCGACGTCGAAAAGCATCATGGGAGCCGGTGGACGCATACAGTGCCGGGTCGAGGTCGTGTGCGAGAGTGTCTGAGCGTGCTTGTACCGGTGGCTACGGGCAGCGAGGGCCACATGTTGTGGCGGGTCCATGCCGTTCGGCCGTCTCCTGGGGCGCTGGGTGCTGATGCAATGGTCATCGACCTTGCCCTCGGATAGGGTCGCGTGTATGGCAGCAAGCAAGCTCGTCGTGACCTCGTCGCTGTTGTAGTACCGCCGCTCCCTGCCTTCCCAGACAACCGGGACAGCGGACGTACAGGAGCAGCAGCAGAGCAGGTACAGTAGGTCTAGACCGTTCCCCTTCTCGCTCTGCCCGCGGCCTGGCATCCTTCCGCAGCGCAAGGCAAGGCAAGGCAAGGTGAGACGAAGCGTGGGACCTTCGAGACGATCTCGAGCTGCGACTGGTCCCCGCCTCCCCCACCCTCGCCACGAGCTCGTCTAAGACGTCGGTCGCTTCCGTTGCTCAACTGACTAGCATGTTCCGGCAACCCGGACTAGATTGACCCGGATACCAGGCAGGCAGGCGCAGGCATGGCGGACCGAAACCCAATCGACAGCGAGCAGGCCAGCCGCCCAGCTGGCGCCAATGCTCGAAACCATGGCCAAAGGGAGAGGGACGCCACGAGGCCCCCCCCCCCCCCCCCGCTCACCGTCGACCGGCACCTGCTCCCTCCCTCCCCGCCGTTCATTACTGTACTTATTCAGCCTCGAGTGCGGATCCCGACCGATGCCGTGTCCTCGACGTCGCAACGTCGGAATCCTGCGCCCCGCACCCCTTGCCCACGCCCAATCTATCACGCCTCACTCCGCCACACGCGCAGTACAGAACTGCATTGCACGGTCATGGACAGCACGGTAGGGACTGTCAGGCCCGTCCAGTGGTCCGCGGATCGCCGTCTGTCGCAGAGACCGCTGCACCGCACTCGTAGCGCCGCGCTAGCTGCCTCGCGTACACGGCGGTGTCCGCGGATCGTACAGTACTGTAGGGCCGCCAGTCGCAGACGATGTGGCCGCTGTGGCGGGGTGTGGGCCGCGCGAGCCGCTCGGGACCGGTTCCATGCAGCGACGGGCGATGCAGCCGTTAGACGATGAGAGTGTATGGACATGCATGTATAGGGGGTCCCGGCCTGGTCGGCCGGATAGAATATCAGGGTCGAGATACGATAGATGAGCGGAAGGAGGAAGCGGGGCCGGCGCCGCCCCGATCAGGCGCTGATGAACGTGTGCTCCTCGAAGAGCGTTCCCTTGACCTCGTGCGTGCGCTCCTCCTTGCCGCGGCCGCCGTACTGCTCCGGCAGCTGCACGCTGAGCGTCGTCGGGTTGAGCGTCTGGTAGATGTAGGGCTTGGTGCCCGCCACGACGTTGACCACCTTGCGCACGACATAGGGGATCTCGGCGAGCACGTCGACCTTGTCGACCAGGCCGTGCGTCTCGGAGCTCGGGTAGGGCTTGCCCAGGTCGACGGTGAGCTCGGCGCCCACCTTGGCCGCCACGTCGCCCTTGCCCGACGCCGCGTCGAGCAGCGGGCCGTCCCACGTGTACCGGATCGACTGCGGCGCCTGGTAGCCCGTGTCCTGGTCGAGCGTCTTGTCGAGGTGGCGGGCGCGCG